CCAACGCAGCGACTTCTCCACCATACACCGACATCCATAATGGACCCAAGAGCACAAATCTCAGGCAACAACAACCACACCAATAACAACATGGCCACAACGCAACAACCGATCCTCACCACCTCACCTCAGCCTCACAACCCGCTCAGCCTCGCACCCAAGCAACCAATCCCGTCCTCCGCACCCAGCATACACGAGCGATCAACATCGCACCATCCCCACACGCAGCCGTCCCAATTGCCAGAAGCCAGCGGTCAACAGCAGAATGCAATGGAAAGCTATCCGCACCAGGTGTCCGGATCCGGGGGCCCGACCGCTACGGCGCCATTCTTGCGGGACTTCAGCCTCGTCGCGGAGGCGGCCAAGCGCGCCCAGATGTCGGTTATGATGCGGGATTTGGAGGCGGTAACGCTATAGATCTGGTTGCGATGCCGCTACTGCGGGAGGTGTGGGTTTTTATACGGGGGTTTGTGTGACGTGGGCATCGGGCCGAAGTTCGTCCAATACAGCCTAAGATCGTGGTCGGGTTTTTAGTTAGATGATGGTGATGGTGATGATATAGAGGACAACGTTCCGTTTCGTTTCGTCTCGTCTCGTCTCGTCTTTCTGTCTAGAGGATCATTCCTTGTCTCTTGGTCTAGATCGGGCATGGATGGTTGGATCGGTCCGGTACAACCGCGACCAAATCGATTGATTCATCGATTTCTTGGTGCGGGGAATGAGTTTCATTCCCCTATATCTTCTTGGTTCTTTGTGTGGACGGGTGTTTCTTTGTTTGTTTGAAGCCTTTTTCACTTATTTTTCGTACGGATTAGAGCGATTATACTTTTGGGCGGATGGAACCTGGCCGGCGTTTGTGTCTGTTTCTTTACTTTCTTTATACCAGAGTGTCTGTAATTGGCTGACTGGAGGGGTTTAATGATATCGGGCAAGAACACGAAGTCTGTTTCATGAATGAAGCCATGTGAATTATTACACATACAATAAACCCAGCATAGATCAGATTGATTGATCCTCGCCTACTACGTATCTGTACCTGTACCTGTATCTGTAATAGATACTAAGTTACAGTCCACAAGGCAACAACAACAACAAAGTAATACAAAAAACCAATCACCAACGAACTCCACTTCATACATACCTCTAGCTCGCACCTTAGTACCTATCTACTACTAGTTAGTACCCAAGACGGAACCCAAAGAACCAAACCCAACACCAGCCAGCCAGCCAGCCCCCGAACATAAAAAGAAAACGAAACGAAGAAGCCCCCAAGAACCAAGAACCCATCCCACGTGTCTCCATACCCAAGCAGCGCTAAGTACTCGCGCCAATAAAAGCAGACAAAAAGGCAATAAGGCAGAAGGCAAAACAGAGCCTCGCACAAGCCACAACCCACTCTAAGCCCGAAAAGGCGTCCCAAAGCGAACCCGAATCGGCAAGGCCAAAAAAAAGAAAAGGATCAAAATACAGGATTAAGTTTTAACAAGCTAGCTAGGAGATTGCGTCGGGTCGGCGGCCTTGCTAGGCACAGAAATCGCTTAAACTGGGTCCCCGGGTAAAATAACTAAGGGTCGACTACCGCCAATAGTGGCTCCAAGAGTTCTTGAAGGCTTTGAAGCTAGTTCGGACCTCTGTCGTCCCCCCTTTGTTTACTTTAGGTTGGTTTTTGGGTCTGTTAAATAAAAAGTGGGTTGAGGGATGGAGCTTGGGAGATAGGTTTTTGTCATTTTAATTTCCGAGATGGGGGGTGTTCATTTTATTTCGTTGCCCGGAGGCATACTAGAGCTATAGTGGGTTAAAACTATTACCCGGGGATGGGTTGGTGTGTTCAGGAGATGGCGGATGTGAGACATCGTTTTGGTTCATTTCAGTTTGGATTCTGGGTTTGTGGTCTTTAATTTGCGGAATAGGAGGTTTGACTTTGGAGTGGTTCACCCCCTGGTTTACTCCTGCTGGCATAAAGGATTATTACGCGATGATATGTTGCGATCAATGGTGATTCTTTCGTCAAATGTGATATATAATTCGATCCTATATACTTCTGGATGAGGTGTATATATATCACCTGTATATGCATGTACGATGCAAGGGCAACGCAAGATGGAAACGATAAAGCGAAAAATTAAAAAAAAGTAAAAAAGAGAAGACATGGAGGATATGCAGACACCCAACACCAAGCTAATGCAAAGGTTAAGGAAAGGATATAGGTAATAGGTACAAAATAACAAGGAAAGGCTAAGGAATGACTTTTGGCCGGATATTAAAATGGAAAGGTATCGAAGGATGGTACCGCCCGCCTTTCCTGAACTCCAATGAAGAATGCAGTCAAACAGTCGCAAGAATTTTCAATGTAAAGGAATGATGCTGGGAATGCTTGGAATATGGCCCGAGATGCGATTAGAAAAGAAAAAGGAGTGTAGGTTGATTATCGATTGCGAGTCGGTTGGCGAGTTTATATGTTGTGTTCTTGAGGTTTACATCTGAGTCGACGATCCGATCAGACTCGGCTGCGAGATACTCGCCGCCTGGCCGCCGCGAAGCCGGTTCTTCCGGAAGCCCAGCAATGTCAGTCTCCGACTCAATCGCCGTGTCGGCGGAATGAAGCTGTTGTCGGTCGACATCATCGACATAGGCCGGCCACGCGGGGCTTCGGCTAGACTCTCCGATCCCGAGATCGAGCCAGCGCGGGAACCCGGGGCGCTGGTGTCCAGCATCAGGGTGGACTGACGACGCTTGCTGCGGATTTTCTCGGTGGTGTTGCGTGGGTCCAGCTGAAGGGAGAAGTCTTCTTTGATGTCGTCGAGGGCGTGGGAGAATCGACGCAGGAGCGTGGAAGGTCTGTCCCCGTAGAGCGACGGCTCCCGCTGTTCCAGGCCGTACATTTGAAGAGGGGTCGATTCGGGGGAATCAGACCGCAATGGAGTTGAGTAGTAGCGAGGGCATTTTGCAGGTTCCCTCCGACGAGGGAGAGATGGGAAGTATGCCTGAGGGTGAGGATGTTGCGAGATGGGACTGTTGGAACAGGAAGAGGAGTCGGAGGATGAGGACGTCAACATCATTGTTTAACTTTGTCGATGGGATCGAAAAGCTCCAATTAAATATCTGAATTAAGGAATTCTTAGCTATGGAGTGGTGATGTATAGAAAAGCGAAGGAGGTCGGTGATAACGATAGCGATAGCGATAGTTGATAGGGAGAGTGATAATAATAGTAGGAGGAGTGATGGTATGAAGTATGCGATTGAAAATTCTCAGCCCAACCAAGCCGAGTCAGACGGTTCGTCTGATACCAGCGTAGGGATGGGCTGGGGGTTAAGACATAATTATAGCAGCCATTGGAAAAAAGACTAAAGGAGGGAAAGTGGAACTGTTCACTCAGCGCATTGTTAGTGAGTGGCTCAATACTGGATCGGTATTTTGGTACGGCTGATGTATGTACGGATCCGTATCGGAACGGTCTCTGCATGTCTCTTAATATGTATGCGCTCGTTCTTGTCCTCTCATTTTCTCTTGTTTCTGTCATTTTTAGTTTCTTTTATTAATGGTTATTTTGTTTTCATACTATTTCTTTTAGGATCTCTAACATGATTTGCTTGTCTTCAGCAAGTCATGACATCGACAGTCACGTCGACAGACGACATGTCCGCGGGGTTAACCGCCTGGGACTGTTTCGCATTTTTCTCTGGATCATACAATGAAATAATCGGCTTTAATCTATGAGATCTTGCTCTGTAACGTCGGCGGTTGCCTTGGGGGACCCGACCGGTGTTCATTGGCCGACGTGGCGGCTGGCAGCCCGTCTGCCACGGAACAGATTGATAATGACTGAGATCCATCGCAAAATCTGGTTCCAGTTGAAACATGGGCAGAGAACGAGTCTCCGAGAAGGTGGTACATGGTGGGACAGTGTAGTGGCAGTTCCAGAGAGTGTGATCTATCTTGAGGAGTGGTTTCTAGACGGGTAAGGAAGGAGAATGCCAAATGGATAGTAAGGGGAAACCCAAAATAATCATGAACAATACCAAACAGGAGATGGGACCACAATCCACTGGAGGGGCCTCATTCCATCGGAAGCGCGGGAGTTCACGCAATAAGGATGCGAGTTAGAGCCACCTGTACCCTTCGATTCGAATTGACTGGCAAGGCTCCAGCTACACGGGGCACACCCACCATTCGGTTCGGAATGATGGAATTCGTTGTCTCATTTGCGAAGTATCTGGCATCATACACATACACACCCACCTCTACGAATACCATCTGACCGAGTCCTGAGGTCTGCAAACGAAGGTGGTACAATTATGCATACATCCGTCCCAGCCCTGAGTAACGTGATACATGCTCCATACGGGAAGCTTCGATGAAAAAAATTCCTGGACTGGGTCAGTGTCGGTAAAAATAATCTCTCTGTAACCAATGACCCCGTCCACTTTTGCCCCTAACGCCTTAGCGCTCAATCAGCCACTCTGAAACTTGCTCGTCATGATTTCATCGCGGACCCCCACAGCCACAAGGGATGTGGATCGTTTCTTGGCCTCCTCCCGGCATGTGCGCAACCTGCCCTAAGATTGGCTACAACGACCCGAATTCAACAGACAACTAAAGGGACTAAACCCCTTCTTTCCCTAGTGCGGAAAATATAAAATGTATGGATTTTGCGCGCGAAGGAAAGTTTTCGGCGTCCGCCGTCTACAAGGTTCGTCATTACCCACTATTTTGGGTAATGCAATCGCTCCTGGCGGCTGATGTTCAGCCCATCAATGGCGACATCTCTCCCACTGACTTTCGCGCTCGTTGACCTGGTGATTGCTCATTGGAGAATTAAACCGTCGACTAACTTGAGTTCGCCGATCACGGCACATTTGGCGCTTGAGAGGACCCCCATGGGCTCGTTCGTCTGCGTATGTACAATGCCGTAATCATGCATGATCGTTACGGGGAATTTTTATATTAGGTGACATGAGTCTAAAACAGTTTCACCCATGGTGCTCACTTGACAGAGAGGATCCATGGCTGACACCCCGTCCACTGACCTCATGGATGAAAGTTAATCCTTCACAATTGTTTGTTTGCCTCTCTATACCCAACAAAGAAAGTTCAATATGGCAAAAACAACGACCAGAAGACAAAAAAGGAATCTCCCCGACTGGGAGTCGAACCCAGGTCTCCCGCGCTTGTTCTCGTATGAGATGACAAGCGGAAATCATGACCGTTAGACCATCGAGGACTTCTAATTATAGAAGATGTTTGCTATTTTGTCTTATAAATAAATAGAAATGCTACCCTCCAGCCTTGCGTCCTACAGTTCTGACGGTGCATCTGCAGAATCCCACGTCAGCCATTCTAGAATCCCATGAGTCCATTCAACAAACCATTCCATACCAGGTGGACCCAGTCCTACCCACTGCAATGCATAAGAAAA